CACCACACCATGTCAGTGTCTCCACCTACAGACCACCATCGCTACTACATTTCACTGTCTCCACCTACAGACCACCATCACTACTACATGTCAGTGTCTCCACCTACAGACCACCATCACTACTTCAGTCAGTGACTCCATCTACAGATCACCATCACTACTACATGTCAGTTTCTCCACCTATAGACCATCATCACTACTACATGTCTGTATTTACACCTGCAGGCCACCATCACTTCTACATGTCAGTGTCTCCCCCTACAGACCACCATCACCATTACATGTCTGTGTTTACACCTGCAAAACCACCATCACTACTAAATGTCTGTGTTTACACCTGCAGACCACCATCACTACTACATGTCAGTGTCTCCACCTACAGGCCATCATTATGACTACATGTCATTGTCTGCAGCTGCAGACCACCATCACTACTGCTGTCAGTGTCTCTACCTACAGACCACCATCACTACAACATGTCAGTGTTTCCACCTACAGACCACGATCACTACTACATGTATGTGTCTCCACCTATAGACCATCATCACTACTACATGTCTGTGTCTCAACCTACAGATCACCATCACAACAACATGTCAGTGTCTCCACCTACAGATCACCATCACTACTACATGTTAGTGTCTCCACCTACAGACCACCATCACTACTACATGTAAGTGTCTCCACCTACAGATCACCATCACAACAACATGTCAGTGTCTCCACATACAGACCACCATCACTACTACATGTCAGTGTCTCCACCTACAGATCACCATCACTACTACATGTCAGTGTCTCCACCTACAGATCACCATCACTACTACATGTCAGTGTCTCCTCATACAGACCACCATCACTACTACATGTCAGTGTCTCCACCTACAGATCACCATCACTACTACATGTCAGTGTCTCCACATACAGACCACCATCACTACTACATGTCAGTGTCTTCACCTACAGACCACCTTCACTATTACATGTCAGTGTCTCCACATATCGACCAGAACCTGTGAAAATCCGGGAGATAATAAGTGTTTAGCAACGCATGCTTGCCATAAAAGGCGACTATATAGTTACCGTTGTTCTCTCATTGATATTAATCATAGACAATATAACTACGTAACTATGAACTTGTAACAATGTCACCTGTAATTGCTTTTTTGGCAACAGCTTGAAAGCCCAATGCAACGCCGCACATTGATTTTCATCTTGCATGTTCAGTGACCACGCAATCGCTGAGCCACACTGTAGCTTTGCCGGTCTGGCCTTGATACATAACTTCGACACGCTGAAGGTATGTTCTCTATCGTACTTGATTAATTTCGACTTTTGTTTGTTTAACACTTAAATTGTGGTTTAAAAGGAATACTCAAAACTAATTTTAATCAGCTTCATATATCAGAACAATATAATTAAATCAATACACGTACTGAGAAGAGAACAGCAGTTTTGTGAACTAGGGACAGGTGTGTGTGTGTGTGTGTGTGTGTGTGTGTGTGTTTAAAGATGATCAAAACGGAAAGGAAATTAAACAAAAACAATTTTCCTCTATGAGTGTCACTTATTCGTAAAACCTCGGATATAATTAATTTGTGTGTTGTTTATCAGGTCTGTATGTACACTTCAACACTACGTCGCAAAAGTCAGTTATCGTGTTCTCCAGCAAAATTGCGAATAATCCGCGAATATTCCGCGGATAAGTTGCCAATAATTCGTGAATGATTTGCAAACCGCGAATTTCTGCGAAACCGTTTTTATTGCTTAAAGGCACTAATTAGGAATTATATGGGACTTCACGCCGTCAACACATAGCAATAGTCTCCATACATGTACAATGTATACTATGATGCTACACTGTGATTGGATTGAGGTACATGTAATGTTTGATAAATGCATGTAAACACCAGTTTGTAAAATATTCCTGCTATAATAATGCTGTCATTAAATATTTTTATTGTCATCAATATTTGATTGATGATCCTCTTAAATCGTGTCTCTTGTCTTCATATGTCAGCATATACTGATGTAGTGGTTAGATAAATACCACGTTGACACTGGTCATATCACAGTTGATGTGTGCACATGTACTTGGTTAAAAACCACATACAATGTACATGTATGGAGGGGCGTCCTGATTAGCGTGGCCAGACAGTTACCCTTGATAACAATATGAAGTGCATTACATGTAGTATTTGATAACCGGTGTATACTCGGACCCCATCGTATCGCGGCATTTGTGATTTCCGATAGTTCACGCGGGACACGCCTCTTAGCGGCTGTCTATTAATGCAAATCAGTAACCAGGAACTGCACATTTCGTAAACAATTTCAATTTCCTCGGAATGTTCCGTCTGCTGTAAGTAAGGAGTTATTAATCCGTTGATACATGTTTCTGGCATCTGTTGTAATATTGCCTTGCCCCATCTATCAATGGCCAACGATATAACCCGCAGTTATCCAAGTAAACTTTCTCTATCGACCTGAACTAGATCATCTGCATATTCATGGCGACTAATGAGGTAACGGAAGTTACGTAGTCCGCACATTTTTTCCCGCTCAGTGCCCAGAATCTATTGGGAGATCATAAGGGCCATAATACCAAACTTAGAAATACGTTCTTCACTAGTAATCAAAAGATAAATACATACTTTGGGCATACTAGGAGTGCTTTTAATATATTTATTGTTGACTTTTAAAAAAATTCCATTTTGTGACAAATTATTGTCATCCATTTTATTTTAGACAATCTTAAAATATAATTTCTGATATTTTGTTGTTTACTTATAAAAATATTTTTCTCTTACTTTTCGGTAAAAATGCATTGAATACCTATTGCTGATAATACATTTAGAATTTTACTTGTGCTGTCTTTGCACTTGTCTGGACAAATCACTGATGTCTGGCATGATCATACCAAGTGGTTGGTAGAATTATGTCCTCTTTTTGTCCAATTCGGACCTCCATACACAACTTTTCTCTGTACCGCGATACGATGGAGTTCTCTCCCTTGTCAAACAGAGCGCGAGGCCCGGCTTTTACTCGGAGCTACTAATGTAAATAATGAACTTTTATCAGTAAAATATGCATTGTTAGATAACATGAATGATATCTGATATACAGATCACGAATAATCATAAAGGTTAGTGAGTGCATTTTGTTCCGTTTAGCGTACATGACAAGTACCGCGATACCCCGAGTTTGCAGGCTATAACCATATTGTGTTCAGAATGATCAATTCAGTGTGGCAAATGTGGCAGTGTGGCAACACGATGTACATTTATAATGTGTAAACTGTGTTCAAATATATTTAATAAAGTTAAATGCGTGTGTAAATATCGTGTAAAAAAGGTATACATGTGGTTATTACACTCTAGTGAAAGATCTAATATTTAGCAATCCCCCCATTATTCCGAGTAGTTTTGAGATTCAGTTGTCATCACCTTCCTTATATGAACATTTGATTTCCATCCATGTTCATTGCGCTGGAGAAGTTATACACCATCATTTGTAACCGAGTCACAGACACAGGTGATAACAAACTCCGAGAAGAATACTTGGGTTTTGAGTTTTCACATGTAGAACTTTACATTGAAGGTGTATACCATATATATCGACAATATTATATTTGGTTGCGGGGGTGCTCGCAAATTAATGATATGATATTCCTCCGATTGATGCAGAATTTAGTGAATATTGGGACACGAATGCAGCTTGTAGATGCATTGTCACTTTTGATTTGAAATTGGGAACAGTTCAGAAAAACAGAACAGCCTTCTTATGATAATTCCCATTTTCTCACTAGTGCGTTGTCTAATGTCTTATCCGTATATGCCCTGTAGCTATTAGAACATACAGACACATATATTGTAAATATTCTTTTTATAATTTAGTTTATGATTGTGGACACGAATACGCGTACATGATGTTAGAAATCGCAATTCATTGAGATTGTCTCTCTGTATATGCGGATTGACTAATACCTTCAGTAAAATATCTTCTTTTTATAATAAGGGCAGTTTACTCTTGAATACACAATGTCACTCGCCTAAGAAAAAGTCGTATCTAATTACAGAGTCGGCCTAATTTACAATCATACAGACAGATTGTTCATTTGAGTCTCATCTCACAAACAATATTTACATAGATATATATAACAGTACATACAATAAGAAACACGTACATGTAGTCAATTAGCCTTTTCTTTGTCTGTATGTAGATTAGGAATAGTGGGTGTTATAAAAGTTTTTTGGTTTCCATTAATTGCCTTTAGTTTTTTCCATAGAATTTTGGTATTGTTTCCCCATTTTCAAGGTGCTAGTGAAGGTTTCCCAATGTTTTCTTTTGGCTGTTCTAATGAGCTGTTTAGCAGAATGTCTGGCCAAAGGGAGTTTAGCTTTATTTAATGCTTTTTGCCTTTGTTTCCTTGATTTTCTGAGCTCAACCAAGGGACATGTGTATGTGTCGGGGAGTGTGTTGTTGTGGGTATGAGTTTAGTAGCTATTTTGTGGATGGTGTTGGTTAAATTTGAGTTGAATATGTCTTGCCGAATGAAAATATAGCCTGGGATTTTGAAGGCTCTTTTGGGAGATATTTCCTGGACTGCAATTTATTAATTTATTTCAAGGTCTAATTCTGTTAAGGGCAATGATTGCCTTAAGTTCATGCCCGTTGGTGTATGTGTATTTGTTTTGTGGGGCAGGTGTTTTGTGTTGCCGAGTGTCCTTCAGATTTGCAGTGAATGCAGTATGGGGCCCATGTGCACTCCGCAGCTTCGTGTCTATGCGAGCCGCATTTCTGACACATGGGCGGTTGTCTGCATGTGGATGTAGGGTGGTCGAATGAGTGGCATATGAAGGATTGTATGGTTTTTTTCTGACTTGATTTACTTTGTATGTGAATGTGCCAAAAAAGAATGTGTGAAGGTAGTTTTGTTGTTTTGAATGTGAGAAAGAGTGTTTGTGTGGTTGTCCTGCCCGGGATAGGTGTGCGGTTGTTTATGTTTTTGTAGTTGATGATTTGGGGTTGAGTTGAGATTTTGTTCGCTTTGGGGTGATGGTGCCCCAGGGGGGTGGCGCTTTGGGGTGATGGTGCCCCAGGGGGGTGGCGCTTTGGGGTGATGGTGTCCCAGGGGGCTGGCGCTTGGGGGTGATGGTGCCCCGGGGGGCTGGCGCTTGGGGGTGATGGTGCCCCAGGGGGCTGGCGCTTGGGGGTGATGGTGTCCCAGGGGACTGGCGCTTGGGGGTGATGGTGCCCCAGGGGGCTGGGGCTTGGGGGTGATGGTGTCCCAGGGGGCTGGCGCTTGGGGGTGATGGTGCCCCGGGGGGCTGGCACTTGGGGGTGATGTTCAGAACCAAATTATGTTACGAATAATTATATTCGTGATTTGAATATTTGTCCGTTTTGTTGACATTTGCCTGAAATATTTTGCTTTGCGATGGTCACAGTAGTACAGCATCAATACCAACGACTTCCAAGTGAAAACTTGTCAAATCAAATAAGTTCCTCTCTACAATCCACGACTTTCGTATGCTGCTGTATTTTTCAAAGCAAAATGAAAACCAACATTAATAAGAAAATCTTAATATATTATCCTGGTTAGATATGAAGAAATTATCAATATAAGATTATGTTACTGATAATTTCAGACTACTGCTTGATTTCCCTGCGCTAAGAAATGTTCCCAGAACCCTTTGTAAATTGTTATGACAGTTGACTGTTGCTGTATATTTGCGAAAGGCTTTGGCATGGAATGACACTATTCAATAAATTCACAATTTCATTAAAATCAGATCTTAGTACTCGCCACCCATTACAGGTCACGTGATTGTATAAACGTGATAACTATAAGAATATCCAAGTGTCTTGGTAGCATCACTATTTGCACTCAACATCGTTGTCCTAATTCATGTTACAAGGCTATTTTTGGTTTCTTTTTTTTACATACTCATTTATTTATTCAGTTTGTACATTATGGTAGGAATTATTAGAAAGAATCATACAGAGATCACAAAGCCGAGATTTCTTCTAACACGGAATTTACTTTTCAAGGGTTCTGAAAATTACAGAATGATGCAATGTAATTGAATGTATCCATCATTCACTGTCATGACAATACATGTAATTAAACATGCTGAAGTACTCTTTTATAATATAATTGCAACACAGCAATAGCATGATACCTTACACTGTAATACAATGGCTGCTCCCTTGCTACATGCAACTTTGAAAATGTTATGTTTACACACAAATATAAAAATAAAGCATTAGCACTGACCATGTTGGCAGTAGATAGTGTCTAACACAATTAATAATCTCAATAACACAGGTTTTATGACATAAAACTTGCTATATATGAAGATTTTCCTGCGATAACGCGCACCTCTACAACGAAAATAGGATACAGTATGGCAGGTGGCTAAATAATTCAACTTTCCAATAAATGTAAGAAATTGACTGACAACAGCTTATGAAATGCCTATAAATCTTGAATATTATCTCATATTCATGTTTTCTGTACCTGAAGAGTGGATCTCGGCCATGTGACACATCTCAATAGTTGAATTTCCACACTTCTCAAACTCTCTGACCATCGCGACATACTCGCGTGCAGTAAAAACAAATACTCAAGGGGGCATCTATTGTATCAGAATGGTGCAAAACAGTCAGTGAGAAGCCTCTATGGCTATGCACCCACAGTAACAGAAATTAAACAAGTTAGAGTCAAATAATATTCCAGACAATAAGTACACATGGTGCAAAAGATGAAGAAGACATTCTGCAAATTTTATGATTACATTACGGAGAATGCTAAAACATCATCATTACGATCATAATATTACTACTTATTCTCTAAAGACTATAAATGCCATCTAACTGGCATAGTTATGTTTTCAAGTCTCAGTCTACATCAATGATAAATGCATAATGAGATTTACAGTATTTGTATAACTGTACAAGGAGTAACCACATTGTAGTCTGGTATCATTACAGTATGCAACACGATCAATGATATACAGCTCTCTCTATAGATGAATCTATTAGCTCGATCATACAGCAGATAATAAATTAGGGGCAACCTAGCTCTCAGTTAACATCATACATTATTCCAAACAATGTAATTATTTTATCCATCTTGATTGTATTATGGGCCTAGGGCCTAAAGTACAAAAATAAAGTCTGTCTGTCTGTCTGTTCATTCGTCCTCCCGTCCGTCCGTCTGTCTGACTGTCTGTCTGTCTGTCTGTCTGTCTTTATGGATCTAGAACCTTTCGGTTAAATTCATTGTTAGATCATATGTGCACAGCTGGTTCATGCGGGACACACCCAAAGTATTGAACAAGAGAATTATTAATGACAAAAACATCAATAGGACTAGCAATAAACGTCAGCTTTATGGGTACTAGGACCTGAAGGTTTATAAATTAAAATACCTATTTCAGAGAGGCTTATTTCAAATCGGAACAGTTAGTACATGGTATTATGTCGACAGTAGAATAATCATGGTTTTTGATGCTGGAGAATATGCATGATATTGCAGTATGTTGGAGAATGTGGAATAGTATTGTAGTGTGTTGGAGCATATGGAATGGTATTGTTGTACTTTAGCTTTCCATGGTTGATAATACAGAACGACTAGCAATGTATATCATGCGTTTGTCTTTATTTCTTACATACTTTAATTGTTCCATCGGTTGAGTGTGCATGGACGGTTCACTCGTGTAAGGCGCTGCAAATCGTTATGCAGAGATTCCAATGCACGTGGGTTCGAATCCCTGATTTGTCCCGATTATAATTACCTGGTTGTAACAAAACCCGTACAACAACAAAGCGTACACTACGGCCTGTGTCAGTTAGGGCTCTCATCCGACATTATATTGACACGTCATGGTATAACTGAAGTCCTGTTCACAACGTCCTGAACCAACTAACTTTTTTAAAAGCTGCATGTAGCTGTAACAAAATAACGGCAACGCCAGAGAAAAACCAGTCTCGATTATCGCCGAAACAGATTCCGTTGGACGTCAAAGGCAAATGGCGGTGACAATTATGACACGTATTGAGCAAAAGGATTATCATGAAAAAAACTCAATACGACTAAGTTTTATGGATCAAGAACCTAAAGGTTTATTAATTCAGATTCCATGGGGCGTAAAAGGCAAATGCTGGTGACGATTATATCAATGTATGACTCAAAAGCAGTGATGACGCAAGCTGTTTGCGAAAACTAGGTCACATACACCCGTACATGCGGGACATCTGTATTAATGGTGATCTTGGATCAAGTAAAGTGTGTACGGTACAGACCAGAACCATGAAGCAAGTGTCATGTTTGAAACAGAAAATCAATAGAATTTAGATTTGAGACTATTTGATAACATAATATAAATAAATCAAATTAGTATAAAATGATACAGTACTTTTTAGAGAAACCTTAATTCATTGTGAGAATTTCTGTGCACAGCCAGTGCATGCGGGAAACACCCAAAGTATTGAGGAGAAAGATTATTTTTTAAAAAACAATCAATAGGACTATCTAGAAACGTTAACATAATAGATCTAGAATCTGATGCTTTATAAATTAAAATTCTTATTTCAGAGAGGCTTATTTCAAATGGGAACAGGTAGTTCTTGGTATTATAGCGACAGTAGTATACTCTTTAAGAAAAGAAACGCAATACGGAAATGTTTGGCCATAAAAGCAAAATTAGAGGACCAAGAGTATCAAAATAAAGAGGTTCAATGACTTATAGTGTCAGGGACAGATTTCCCGGATCAACATGATCACAACAACGACAAACCATTGGTCGGAAAACAGGTACGATTCGGAAAAACGCACCCAGTGCATTAACAAAAGGGCCATGGAGCTGCACGTACTGCACGTGCAGCAGCACTATGAACGGTATAAAAGTGCAGGGTTTCTGATTGCCTGGCATCTTCGTCAATCGAACGGTGACAGTTCAACAACATGCCAAGATTAAGAGAAGGGCACAGAAACAACGTCATAGGCCGTTTGCAGGAAGAGGAATCCAGATCAGCTGTAGCCAGGGTTTTCAATGTAGCGCCCAGCACCATCACAAGTCTATGGTATCGGTGTCAACAGCATGGGATAACACGTGATCGACCAAGGTCGGGACGACCAAGAGTAACCAACCATCCTCGCCCAAGATCGCTACATCCGACTACGCCACCTATGTAAAAGGAAGACCACAGCCACCTTAACTGCATCCCGCATGCCCGGACTGCGCAGAATCTCCTACCAGACCGTACGAAACAGTTTAAGAGCAGCAGGTCTACGAGGTCCTGTTCGACGCGTCATATTGAGTCGACATCGTGAACAACGACTACATTGGTGTCGTCAGCCCAGGGTATGGCTTCAACTGCGATGGAGAGATGTCTGGTTCAGCGACGAATGAATATTTCTTCTCCGTCGAGAGGATGGAAGAACACAGGTCTACAGACGTCGGGGAGAACATTACGCCGGAAACATCATGCAGGAAGTGGACAGGTGTGGTGGAAGTAGCGTGATGACGTGATAATGTTACGGCTCAACGATACATCAACGTAATTCTCCTACCACACGTCCTCCCATTTGCAGCCAACGGCAATGGTGTATTGCAGCAGAACAACGCTGGACCGCAAGAGCCTGTCTACACAACAACAACGTTGATGTTCTACCCTGGCCCTCCAGATCCCCGGATTTGAACCGGTAGAGCATCTGTGGAATGAATTGGATAGACGGCCACGCCTAACTCCACATACATACCACCATCACTACTACATGTCAGTGTCTCCACCTACAGACCACCATCACCACACCATGTCAGTGTCTCAACCTACAGACCACCATCACTACTACATGTCAGTGTTTCCACCTACAGACCACCATCACCACACCATGTCAGTGTCTCCACCTACAAACCACCATCACTACTACATGTCAGTGTCTCCACCTACAGACCACCATCACTACTACATGTCTGTGTTTACACCTAAAGACCACCATCACCACACCATGTCAGTGTCTCCACCTACAGACCACCATCGCTACTACATGTCAGTGTCTCCACCTACAGACCACCATCACTACTACATGTCAGTGTTTCCACCTACAGACCACCATCACCACACCATGTCAGTGTCTCCACCTACAGACCACAATCACTACTACAGTCAGTGACTCCATCTACAGACCACCATCACCATTACATGTCCGTGTTTCCACCTACAGACCACCATCACCACACCATGCCAGTGTCTCCACCTACAAACCACCATCACTACTACATGTCAGTGTCCCCACCTACAGACCACCATCACTACTACATGTCTG